TAAAATGTGTAGGAAAATGATGTATTCACTAGATTTTCCAAAAAATATACTATATACACTACAGTGTCACCTGGCGTCGTTTTTGTAAGTCATTTTTATAAAGCCTCCCCACGTGACCTCCTGCGTGTGACGTAACATGGGGGAGAGCGGCCGGTCTACAGTAGTAATAAACATGGATCACAATCAGAGCCGGCCCGACCCATTAAGCGACATAAGCGGCCGCTTAGGGCCCCGCAGCCACTAAGGGGCCCCCTAGCAAAAAATTCTGAAGCCAGCCGTGCCCTATCTAGTTAGGTGCGTGTTCACATGAAAGTTGTGGCATTTGGAGCATTCGACCAATCACAAACATGGAGAAGCGTACTGACAGCGCAGCGTCATACTTCCTGAATGAAAAGTCAACTATATAATTAGACACATATGAAGAAGTTAAACTTTAAACATCCATGACTTAAACACTTTATCCAGGATAAAAGCCACATAGCTGCACCTGCAAGGTGAATACAGCTAGTAAAAGAAAAAGTGTTTGAATGCGTACATTAACAGGTTTATGATATCACTGCCCCGTCTAAGACACGATCTGACTTTAATTACATTTGTCTCGAGTGTTTCGTCAACTTAATGTGTTGCTTAAAATAATACTTTTGCATACAGTATGTGACACTGTGAGTGTTGCACGGCCAGATACGGCTCAAGAAGCTGACTTAGATAAGAAAATATATGATACATTATGATGTGATATGAATGATAATGGGACACATCGATGTCTGCACTCACAGTGCCGCGAACTGTACTTAATGTTACTCTGATCCGGTTACTTATGTTGTGGCAGATATTTAAGTAAGCTTTCTTAACGCTAATGTTATAATAGTCAGATTGCTCTGAAGATGGGAGGTGATATTCTATTAATTAGGGATGCACCGAATATTCGGTCGCCGAAAATTATCGGCCGAAAATGGTTAAAAAGTTCTAGCACCGAAAAGATATCACGAATGTCAGAGAACAGGGTTACGTTGGTAAGCTAATGTGTTGTTGTGATGACGTAATCAAAACTTCTCTGACATTCGTGATATCTTTTCGGTGCTAGAACTTTTTAACCATTTNTGGTGTACTGACCATGGCATTACTGTCCTCGATTGGCCTGCAAATTCCCCTGACCTGAACCCCATAGAGAATATGTGGGGTATTGTGAAGAAGAAGCTGAAAGACACCAGACCCAACAATGCTAATGAGCTAAAGGCCGCTATTGAAGCATCCTGGGCATCCATAACACCTCAGCAATGCCACAGGCTGATTGCCTCCATGCCACGCCGCATTGATGCAGTAATCCGTGCAAAAGGATTCCCAACCAAGTACTGAGTGCATTAATGGACATTTTCAAATGTTTGATTGTGTTTTGCTGTTATAAATCTTTTTTTTTTACTTGGTCTGAGGAACTATTCTAATTTTTTGAGATAGGATTTTTGAGTTTTCTTAAGCTGTATGCCATAATCAGCAATATTAAAATAATAAAAGGCTTGCAATATTTCAGTTGATTTGTAATGAATCCAGAATGTATGACATTTTTGTTTTTTTAATTGCATTACAGAAAATAAAGAACTTTATCACAATATTCTAATTTTCTGAGACAGTCCTGTATAGTAAGCCTGTCTCTCAAATGAACTTGATTGCCTCTGACACATTCAACAAGAACTTAACTTGTTATCAATCACGTTGCCATTCAGCGGTTACTACCTTTTTCTGTTGTTTTTCCTTTGCACATATCTCACATATGAACTTTCTCTATATGCCTAAAGACATCACTAGAAACATTTAATTGCAACCGCAAGTTTGTTTATAAAAATGTTGTCGGCAAATAACATTCCTATAAAAAGAAACAACTCTCTCACAAAAGAGAAGGTCACTGTGTTCACAGGATAAAACTGGTCACTAGAGAGATAGAGAGAGATACTAAGAAAGAGAGAGCCGTCTCGATAAAAACATACAGGGAAGCCATAATGACAAAAAGCGTAGGAATCTAAGCTACAGTTGAGTGTAAATGCTCTCCATTACAATAAATGACTTCATTACAATAAGGATGTGTTCAGCCACCCTCTGTGTTTTCAATGAGTTTAACTGTGCAACGATTCGTTGAAGTGTGCTCAAGTAATAGAGCTTCAGATGCAGCCTGTGGTATTTACACGTATCCTCTCAACGTGCCAGTACAGCTCAGGACTGCCAAAGAGTATTTGTACCTGTGCAGAGCACCTGTGTGTGCACACTTATTTGCACACACACAGACACACAAGTGTATCTCACTGCCTTTCTCTGCACCTAATAAGACATAGGAGCTTTTAGCACCTAGCAGCACTAATCCTATAGCCTTATGCTCCCTAGTAGTGAAGCCAAATGGCCTTACACACAGGCCCTCACACACTCTCTCCCCCCCACTCCCTTTCTCTTTGTGTGAGTGTGAGCATCTGTGAGTGTTTGTTATGAATGGATGAGGCGAAAGAAGAGAGGGGTGAATGGGAGACATTACACCACTGAGGTCAGTGAGGAGAGAGAAAGAAGAAGAGAAGGAACAAGGGAGGCAGAGAGGAGAGGAGGGGATGGGTAGGGGTGAGGTTATGAGAATGTGTGCATGGCGGAATAGTTGCACATGAATAGCATAAAAAAGCACCACATGCACCCTGCCCTGCGTTTATGTCCTGCTTGTCAGGCATGCAGAGCGCGCCTGGGCCTACGCGTGTTTCTGTTATTGTGTGCGCACCGGTGTGTGTGTGTGTGTGTGTGTGTATGTGTGTGTGTGTGTGTGTGTGTGTGTGTGTGTGTGTGTGTGTGTGTGTGTGTGTGTGTGTGTGTGTGTGTGTGTGTGTGTGTGTGTATTTGTGTGTGTGTGAGTGCATGCGTGTGCAAGGCCGAGGTAGGTTAAACTTGTACTCGTGAAGTGTTCCCAGAAGAGATTAATCATCCTGTGCTGGAATGCAGCATCGCGGTCATAAATCATCACCTGACCCCTCTCCCTCTCTCTTTCTCTCTCTTCCTCTCAGCCACACGTAGCGGTGGAGTGAGGGTAAAGGAGAGTCATTGCATATCTGCAGTAAATAAACAGCCAACAGCCCTGACAGAAGCTTGAAAGGCAGGAAACAGAGCGTATTGTCCAATACAAAGGTCCAATTGATTGATCAGTCAAATATATGGAAGACTGTTAATGACAAAACCATTCACCCAACAAAAATGCAAAACCAAAGTGGTAGCTATAATTGATGTTTGAAACCAAAAAACAATAATTCTGAAATAGATTGGACTAAAAAAGCATCTTGGCATGTTAACTTAACCTTCGAGTATTGAAAAAAATGAACTACATTAAAAGATAGAACATCGATATTGGACGATTTTTTAATATTGTATACAATTTCATCATATGGCAATGGTGAGATAATAATGTATTTGTTAATATGGTTGGATCAATAACCAATTGTTAATTTTCTTGAAGGCAGATGAGCTACATATCTATCTGCCACCCTGATCACCTCATCTTTCCATTCCGACTTAGTCCATTAAATTAACAAAGCCAATTGGTATTCAAAGTTAAACATGAATCATAAACATTATTCTAAGGATTTCTGGGAATCCATAAGATTTGTTCTGATAAAGGTGGAGGGCGAAAATGTAATATCCTCATTGATTGATCAAGGCGGCCGTATCCTAACAGTTTGGTCATGTTTTAAATCATGGGAGAAAGCTGTGGTTAGGATCACCAGTTAGAAAGCTTAAGGGACGGATGGAGCCAAGAAGAGCTGTTTAACAAATGTTTGTCTGAAACCTTTAGACACTCCCTACTCTGATTTCATTGGGAAAAGGAAGCCATCCGGCAGTCAATGCTACACTGTGCATTTTGCAACTCAGGTTAAAGAAGAGAGCCT